GAAAGAGGATATAGAGGAAAGTGAATCAAGGGAGACGAAAGAAATAGTAGGAGAGTATAAACAGGTGTATTGAAAGAGGATTAATGGAAGGAGATTGCACAATAAGGTTAGAAGAGACAGTAACACCAGTAGTTCAGCCAATAAGTAGAGTACCAGAAAGAACTAGACCAAATGGAAAGGGACCAAATAATAAAAAAGGTGGACAAGCCCTCTAAGTGGGTGAGTGCAGCGGAAATCAGAGTATAGAGGAGACCACACGTAAGCAGCGAATGCAGCAAACTACATTGATGGTAGTGTACGAAAATTACTGTCTCACTTGAAAACTGTGTTTAGGGCCCTGGACAGTGGTATGGGAAGAGGTGAAAGGGCAGGTATTGCATCTCCTGCGCTGGCATGGGATGGTGCTGGGCGGAGGAGAGCAACTGTTGGTGGTGATGCAGGAATGAACCAGGGAGTCATGGAGGGAATGGTCCCTTCAGAATGCTGAGAGGGGACGGAAAGATATGTTTGGTGGTTGGAAAGGTGGCATCGTCAGAACAGATGCGACGGAAAAGGGAATCGAGTCTTTACAAGAGGCGGGGTGGGAGGAAGTGTAGTCCAGGTAACTGTGGGAGTTGGTGGGCTTGTAAAAGATATCTGTAGATAACCTATGCCCTGAGATGGAAATGGTGAAGTTGAGGAAGGGAAGAGTCAGAGATGGACCATGTGAAGGTTATGGAGGGTTAGAAGGTGGAAGTGAAATTGGTGAATTTTTCCAGCTCACTGCGAGAGCAGGAAGCAAGGTTGGCCAGAAAATAGAGAAGGTGTAACCAGAGGAGGTACAACCATATTGGGAGTATAGAAATGAAATATATAAGAAAAAGGAATAATATATAGAGGGCAGAGGACAATAATTCCAAGAGAGTTAAGAAAAAAATGTTGAGAAACTTACGTGAAGGGCATTGGGGAATAGAAAAAGTGAAGAGAAGAGCAAGATAACTAGAACTTTGCCCGGGCATAAGTAAACAAATTGAGGACAACATAGGAAGGTGTGAGACATGCGCAAGATACCAAAACAGAGAGAGGCATGAAACTTTAATGGGGCATCAGAGACCAACCACAGCATGGACAAAAATAGGAACAGGTTTGTTGTGTTATAATTGGAAAGATTATTTATTAATAGTAGACTATAGCTCGAGATATAGTGAATATGTAGAACTAAATGATACAATTGCAAAAACAGTAATAGACAGGACTAAAAAATATTAGCCAAGAATGGAATACCAAGGGAATTAATAAGTGATAATGGGCCACAATTTGCGAGTGTTGAATATAAAAAAATCACAAAACACTGAGACATACACTACAGAACATTGTCACCAGGATATCCACAAAGCAATGGGATAGTGGAAAGAACAGTACAGACAATAAAAAAAGTGGAAGAAACCTGAGGAATCACAGGAAGATAAACATTTGGCATTACTAGCCTACAGAAATACATCAATAGATGACCAGGGATAGTCACCAGCACAGATGTTGATGTCCAGAAGATTAAGAGATGGGGTAATATGGGAGAAAACAAAAGTGAGACCACAGGTACAGAGAAAAAGCAATGGGAAGAAACAAGGGCGAGAGCCACAGAAGGAAACACTTTCAAAAAAGGAGAAGCCGTATGGTTTTGGAGGAAAAACGTAAAAACAGAAGAATGGATAAAAGGAAAAATATGGGGGAAAGATAAGAACCTCAGATCACATTGAATAAAAGATGAAAAAGGAAAGATATAGAGATGAACATCATGGGAGCTCAAACAAAGAAAAATAAATAAAACACAGGAGGAAAAGCAGAAGGAAGGTCAAGGAGTGGCAGAAATGGAACAACCAGATGAGGAACAGAAATAAAAAGACCACAAAGAATGATAGAACAAGATTGGAAAAAGAAGCGAAGAAAGTAAAAGAAGGAAGATGTTGAATGTTGTTTTAAGGCTAAATTGACAATTGGACAATAACCAATGACAAGCAAACAGGAAGCATAAAAGGATTCCGGGAAAGGGACTGGACAGAGTGTTGAAGAGAGTTGAAGTGTACGATTGAAATAAAGGAGCTATTGAATCTAAACTGTGTTGTGGATTGACAAATAATACAATATACATATTATTAAACATTACAAAATACTGCAAGAATAGGGTAACTGTGACAGCTTGAACACACAACCTCAGACTCAGAAGTGAGACTGCCACCACTGTGCCAGTCTGACACACAAAATAAAATGGGCTGAATGGCCTCTGCTGTGTTGTCCATTTCCAGGTTCTATGTTTCTGTGGGATAGATTTGTAGAAGAATCTTCTTGGAAGTTTGAAGAGTAGTGACATGGTTGAATGTTCTCCTACCTTTTACTGTTGATCCTGAGGTCCTCTGGTTTGAAGTGATGTCTCGCTGCTGAGCTACTTTTGATTAGAAACCATTTGTTTTTTAGAAATCCAAACTAATCTTCAGAGACAATAAGTCCTTGAGAAGCTGAATGATGTCTGTTTTAATTCCAGCAATAATACTTGTCTGATTGAGAACAGAAAGTCATTGATCCTTCTTCAGACATCTCAAACCGGCAAATGGACAACAGTACATCCAGGGATCATGGACCTCCGCTGGAAACCCATCTTCTCCCAGGGTCTCCTCACTGACAGTTCCCTCTCTGGTTGCTTAGTTTCCTAGCCAGGTAGAGCCTGTAATACATTGCTTAAAGCTGAAGGAAATTTAAGAATCATTTAATTACATTTTTCCAATATGAGTTTAAGTAAAAAGATTTTGTGTTGTACTCATTTCCTGAGACCCCCTACATGGTGAATATTCTGGATTATATTTCACGTTTCCAAATGCCTAAATTTTTTACAAGGTCTTTCCTGCTTGTTCAGGACACTTTCCCCAGCCTCAGCCAGGCCTGAGTTAGTGAGTTGAATCAGGCAATATTTCCCACCTGTTAAACCCTCAAACCCTCAAATAAAATCGGTCATTGACTTCATGGTTGTTTATGGTATGTTACTGAGCACGAATTGGCTCCCACATTTGCCTACAAAATACTGTACAATGACTACAGTAAATCGCTATAATGTACAGTAAATTCTGTGAAGCACTTTGAGACTCCTCCTCATGGGAAAGGCACTACATTCAATAATGAGTATTATTAAATAGAGATTGCATTTAAATGTCACAGCTCGGAAACACAAAACTAACTTCAAAGGAAACCGGAGCACAAAATAAATGCAAATAGAAATAGAAATGGAAGTGTTTTATTCAAGGAGAAATATTGTGGAAAAAGAGGAAGATAAATCGCTGTCAGTGTCTCAGTGACTAATATAACCATCACCGCCGCCCTTTGTCAGTGTGGTAGATTCACTCTCAGTTTGCACGTGAATCTCACGGAGGTCGCTATCCTGACAGTGATCACATGCTGGCTCCTGGCAGTCCTGGGCTGATGGATTACATGAATGAATCAATTATCATTGTCTAGACGTTGCCTGATATACTTCAATCATCTTCTTAACCAAAGATTTATCTTCCTCTTTTCCTAAAGACTTTAATTGACACCACCGCTGCTTTAGCTGCCAGGCTGCTCCATATTATTCCCAGTGTGTGGGAAAATAGTCCCCTAATCTCGAATGTTCTTAATAGAATCTTTTGAAGTTCAGATCCATGTTCAGAGGCTACACTCACATAAACCGCTTCCTCAAAATGGAGTCACAGGGTCACAGCCCTGCTCCTCCTCCCCCCTTCCTCCCATACCCAACAGAGCTGGAAGTAGCTCTCAGTAATGTGCAGACCCAACTCCTATCGTCTCTGAATTTATTCCAATCACCGCCGCCCTTTGGAGGGTCTGACGACCACTGACTCCATTGAAGTCTTTCTCCAGACCCTGTAGATAAAGAGAGACGTGACTTAGAGTAAACCTCGGGCAGTGTATAGGATGCACTGGATTAGACCTCCAGTCCAGCCAGTCAGAGATGTGGCTATAAACCATGGGATTACAGCCGTGCAAAAAATACAAACACGGAGAACACACAAATGATCAAGTCCAACAAATAGGGTCGACAATCAGTGTATTGGTTCACAAAAAGAAAATAATTATATTTACAATGTGCCTGACATCACTGTGGTCTGTTTCCAAATCCTTGCTCCCTATGTATTGGGGAGCAGGGATTCTTCCCATTCAGCTCCTGTCAACCATGTAAGCTAAAACTCTCTCCCCTCAGGCTGCCGCGATCCTCATCCTTTCAATACTCCTAGGCTCGGCGATGCCAACCAACTCCCTGCTTGCCAGCCTTCCAAACTCTTCCCTTCACAAACTGCAGATCATTCAGAAATTTGTAGCTCGTGTCCTCTCCCGCTCAGGCTTTGTGACCCTATCGCCCCCACCCTAGCCCAGCTCTCCTGGCTCCCCATCCCCCAGAGGATAGAGTTCAAAATCCTTGTCCTCACCTTCAAAGCCCTCCTCCGTCTTGCTCCTTTCTACCTCAGTGACCTGCTAACTCCATATTGACTTGTCCGCTCCCTCCTATCAGGCTCCGGCCTGCTCCACATCCCCCGCCCAGACTGCCCCACTATCGGCGGTTGGCTGTGGAGCTTCTATGCCCCCAGCCTTCGAAACTCCATCCCACAGTCCCTTCGCTCTCTCCCTTGCCTCCTTCAAGGCAGATCTCAAAATCCTCATCTTAAACAGCGCCTTCCATTGCCCTCCCAACCCTACCCTCCCTGCCCTCCCAACCTCCGGCTCAGGTCCAAATCTCTGACTGTCCAGCTCCTTGGGACATCCTCCCAACGTGAATGGCGCTATACAAATTAAATTTGTTGTTGTTATTGCTTTGAGATCTGGACTCACTGTAAGTTTGGGAAAAACTAATTTCCTTTAAGTTAATTTTCTTATCAGGGAGTTGTTGAAACGGTTGGATGTGATTGGCTTTTGCAGGTGTCACTAGGCAGGTAACCAGCCGAGTGTTTGTTTTTACTTTCATCCTGTGATAGTCTAGGCTCGTTGATTCAACAGAAGTAGATTATTAACCTGACTCACTGCCTTTGTTCATAGATATGTGAGTGAAGACACATCCGGGACATCTCCGAGTCGCTACCCTGTGTGAAAGATCCTATATAAATGCAAATTGTTATTGGAGGTATAGAGCCAGATATCAGACAGGAGGCACACTGTGAAGACCCAGACACCTGAGAGGTGGAGTGCTACCAAGCAGCTGTGTTGTGAGTCGGCAAGAGAGCTGCGCAGGTAGGAGACTCGGTACAGCACACACCTCATACTCACTGTCTCCTGTCAAAGTCTCCAACATTGAAGCCACTGCCCAGTGTGGCTCTGGGTCAGACAGCTCTGACTTAATAATAATAATAATCCTTGTTTTTGATATAGCACCTTATCACGTCTTCGAGACGTCTCAAAGCGCTTCACAGAATATACTGTAAATTGTATTGACTGTGTGTGTTGTGGGTGAAATGCTGCAGCCAATTGTGCACATCAGTGTCCCACAAACAGTTGTGGCTAAAGTGACAAAATTAGTATTATTATTTTAAGGGATGAATACCACCGGAAAGCGATACGCCAATCGGCTAACAAGCAGGTTGTTGATTACTGCTAGCTAAACAGAGGAATATGTTTGTGGAGTGAGGAAACTTGCCTAAGGTTTTGCCCCGCCTGGGAATCAAATTTCAAACCCTGCTCCGAGCTGAGCTCAGAGAGTTGGAGCTCCATTTGGTCTCAGTGCCTTGATCTCTCTGCTCCTCATCGCTATCCAGATCAACCCCCACCCCCATCCCCACCCAATTGGGCGGTCTTTGAGTAACAATACATTCAGCTTGAGTCATAAAGAATGGAAAGTTTATGGAAAGAAAATAAATGGAAAATGTATAATTTTCCAAAGAAAGAGGCTGAGCAGAGAGAGAGAGTGAGGAGACTGAGACACACACAGAGCAGAGAGAGACGGAGATGATAATAGCATTTGATACAGTGTCTTTCATGTCAGGAGGACATCCAAAAACATTTTGTAGAATATCCTGTAAAGAGCAGATAACGTCTCGATTTAACGTCTCATTCAAAGGACGGCCCCTCTAATATTGCAGCACAGCTATCGCGTTGCATTGGAGTGTCATCTTTGAACTGTATGGGTTCCAATTCCCAACCCAGCCCTCATGTACAGAATGCGGTGCAGAAAGAGAGAGGAGAGAGAGAGACAAAAAGATGCAGAGAGAGGGAGAGAGGGATACAGACAGAGAGCAGAGAAAGAGAGAGATAGAGTGCAGAGACACACACACAGAGCAGAGAGAGAAACAGACTGACAAGTGTTGGACATATTGAGAGCAGAGAACAGAGACACACAAAGGTCCATATTCCATGCATTAGATTAATTACCCAAATTAAATTTGTTGATATAATTTGGGGAGTTGATGGGAAAAGAAACATTAATGTTATCCCTAAATTGCTGTATTGTTCACACCTATTTATTGGAGGAGTGGTCTTAATTTTGTACAAGATTAGGGCAATGCCCAGCCAAAATTGTCATGTTATTTGGGGTGTCCTCCTGACGTGACATATATGTAAATTGTATTGTGCTCTTTGTATGTCAGAAATGGGCTCATTTTGCCACCAACATCAAGAATATGTGCACGTTTATATAATAATCCTTCACCTGACACAATAGTAAAGTCTAGAATAGGGAGTGTTGCTCTCAGCAGAGTCTGGATAAGACTCAGCAAGAATTGCCAGAACGTGTGGCTTGGATTTGAGTCCTCTTAAGCTGGGTTGACCAGAGCTTTGTCTTCCAAGTTAATAACAATTACTTCTCTGATGTGCCAAACCCTTTGGTTCATGTAAATAGCAAGTGGACATTGGCCACTGGCAACTACTCAGAAAATTTACTTCTCACACCATCAGACAGCAGCAAATGGATGAAATAAGTTGATGTCACATTTTATGGAGTTATGAAAGTGGAGAAAGTCTGGGTTTGAGAAAACGGAAATCAAGAAAACAGAAACAGCTCTGCCTCTGGGATGGAAGGTTGTGGATTCAAACGTCAGGACTTTAAACTTACAAGTCTAGGCTGGCTCTCTGGGGCTGTGCTGCCCTATTGGAGTCTCAAATGATGTTAAACCGAGGCCCCGTCTGACTGTTCAGGTGGATGTTAAAGATCCCACAGCACTATTGGAAAAGAGAAGTGAGTTTCTCTGGGTATCTTGACCAACAATCCCGCCAAACAAAATGGGTCACTTATCCATGGCTGTTTGTGGGACACTGCTCCACACTAATTGGCAGCCAGATTCGCCCACAAAACACTTTGTAGTATTTCATGTGAAGCACTTTAGTATGTACTCCTTATGTTACAGGAGCTATACCAAGTGCAAGGATTTTTATTATCATTATATGTCAGGTTGGTTGCAACCCTGTCTGAGTCAGAAGGTTGTGGGTTCAAGCCGCATGTCTGGACTTTGGTTTCCTACTCGAGGTTGACAATCCAATGCAGTAGTGTGGGTGCTCTGCATTGTTGGAGGTGCCTTCCTTCAGATGCAATGTTAAACTGAAAGTAATGTGTGGAGTCCTGTAGCTCAGTGGTTAGAGCCCTCACCTCTCAAGCGAGAGATCTGGATTTGATTCCTGGCAGGGCGAAATGTTGGGCAAGTTTCCTTACTCCACACGTCTCTGTTTACCTAGCAGTAAGTAGGATCCTGGTTGTTAGTCGATTGGTGGATCGCTTTTCTGGAGATAATAATCCTTTTTAAAAAAAATTGTTTACTCAATCCGTGACTGGCTGTGCACATTGGCTGTGTTTCGCCCATAAATATAGAGTCAATTCACTTTGCAGTATATTCTGTGAAGGGCTTTCAGACGTCTAGAAGATGTGAAAAGCGCTATATCAAATGCAAAGGATAATTTTTTTTGTTATGTAACATTTGCATGTCGAAGTGAATGTTAAAGATCCCATGGAACTATTTAAAAAAGAGGGGAGTTTTCTCCTGATGTCCTGGCCAATATTCATTTCATGGTTGTTTGTGAAATTAGTTACAGCGTTACCCTACAAAATACTCAGTCACGACACTTTACAGTGTATCCTGGGAAGTGCTTTGAGATGTTCTTCTGACATGGAAGGTGCATGGAAGTGCACGACCACACACGCTGCCAAAGGTCTATCCATTCTCTTAACCTGTCTGTGGCTGACACAGAGGCGAGATTGCGATCAAACTAGCCAAGCTAACTCACTGAGTTCCCTCAATGAGATTTAACTAGCTCTACCTATCAGGCAATATTCTAACTCTATTTTCCTTCTTTCTTTTCAGGTAAACAAATAAAAATGGAAACCTTTTACAACATTAATGAGATAATGAACCTGCTTGTTGTGGTCATTGGCCTCAGTCTCAACATTGCGGCATTCTTCATTGTCATTAATGCAAAGTGCTCACCCAGCAATATCTTCCTTCTAAATCTAACCATTTCAGATTTGATCTGTCTAACATTTTTGGCTGTTTTATTGTTTTCATGCACTCCTTCAACAGTTTTGTTCCTTTGCCCCATCAATTCATTTGTCTATTACAGCAGCATATACGGCTCAACTCTGTTCCTGACTGCACTGAGTGTGGACAGGTACTTGGGGGTGGCTTTTCCCATCAAGTACAAGTTGTACAGGAAGCCTCGATATGCAGTGATAGGCAGCATCGTCATCTGGGTGTGTGCGATGACCAACTGCTCTGTTGTCTTGGTGATAGCAATGAAATGGAAGCCGAATGTGACCGAATCGAATTGCTTCTCGGATTGTTACACCCATTTCACCAAGGAACAGCTTCTGATTGTGCTGCCGTTCCGACTGGAGCTGTGCATCATGCTGTTCTTCATTCCTTTGCTCATCAGCATTTTCTGTTACAGCAACTTTGTGAAGATTGTGTGGTCATCACCTTATATCCCTAGAGAGAGGAAACAGCGGGCTGTGGGCCTCGCACTCACCACTCTATTCACTTTCATTGTCTGCTTCAGTCCCTACAACATATCACATATTATTGGATTTTTCTCCAGCAAAAATGTGCAGTGGAGGAATATTGTAATCACCATGGCAATGTATAACACCTGCTTTGACCCCATTGTCTTCTACTTTTCATCAACTGCTATCCAAAAGTCATTGAAACGTTTCTGCAGAAGATCCATACAAACAAGGAATTCATACAGAGTTAACATAGAGATCATCATCACCAGGTAGCGCCTCGTATCTAAAGATGGCAAATGATAGGTGCCTAACCCTGTGTTTGTGAGCATTGGGAATGACATTGTGTCTTGAGTGACCCCATTCGCAGGCCATCACTGGCCCCCAACTGGTCTTCAAATAAAAAATGTAACAAAATAATAAAACTAATCCTACACTACTCTTTCATACCTCTGTTGTTTTTTNCACCGTATAACTACAATTTGATGGCTTCTGTGCTAAGCTAGGCCTACAGCCTCTGGGCCAATTGATACAACTTCTTTGTCTGGGAGAGTGGGAAGTCAATAGTCAGCAAGAAAAATAATCAAGAGCCCCATGTCTGGTGTAAAATTACAAAATAGGATTGTTTGCTTTAAGTCCGAGAAAATAGCAAGGCTCGAGTGGGGTAGGGGACGCCATCTGCTGGTGTTCCTAAAACAAGTTTAGGAATTAGTTTATGAAACCAGTTAATTTTACCCCTATGTTTCTAAAGCTGCCATTTATCTTGTATAGGCTACGCTGACACTCAAGAGCAGTGCTGGGTGAGCTGTATTGTGGAGTCCTGTTCTGTATGTGGAGTCCTGCAACACATTGGGTAAAGCACCTGGGTTTGATTCTTGGGTGGGTGTAAGTTTCCATACTCTACAGACCTCTGGTTACCTAGCAGTAAGTAGTAAAGTTGTTATTCGATTGGTGGATTGCTTTTCCCATGAAAATAATCCCTTAAAAAATTAATAATGTTGTCACTCAATCCACGAATGTTTGCGGGACACTGCTGTGCACAATTGGCTGCCGCATTTTGCCCAAAAATATACAGTCAATTCAATAAGGATTATTATTATTGTCACTGGTGCCATCCTTCAGATGAGATGTTAAATCGAGGTCCCATTAGCCTAGTCAGGTTAAAGATCACCTTTAAAAAGAGAAGGGAGTTTCTCCTTGTTTCCAGAATTGAGTTGTTCTTGCGTGACGGTGTAACAGTGTGTAATGGGGTACAATACAATACTAATTTATATTTATATAGCGATCTTTCACATCAGAAGGATATCTTAATGCACCTAACAGGACAGGCCAGGCACCTGAGCTTGGGGTGGGAAGAAGGTGGGGAGGGAAAGATGGCTGAATGTGCAGTCAAAGATGTGAAGTCTAGAGAAGGACCTTGGGAGAGAGGGAGGGAGTGGAGAGACTCCTGGGATGGAGTTCCAGAGAATGGGGCAAAACAGTTGATGCATGTAATGGAGTGTGACAGGGAGATAAACCCTGTCACTGTCTTCTATGGTTATTGGTGCTCAACCTAGCTGTAAAGGCAGCTAACAAGAGCTAGACTCCCATCAGGCTTGAGAGTCTGAAGAAGACAGACGTAAAGAGAGTCAAATCCGCAGCCCTACACATTATGAATGTAGGGAGTCCTAAGTGTCTGGCAGTGTCTGACAAGAGCAGCACAGGTGAAGACCAGGCTATACAGGAGTTGAACAGAGTCACACTACCTCTCCACCATAGATTTCTGCAATATGTTTTGGATATTATCACCAGCATTATTCCATCCATTCAGTACATCTTCCATTCTGTCTGTTTATTTGCAGTCTCCCTCCTGACCTTTTTATTTAACCTCTGTAATATAGTCTTTCCATGATTCTCAATTTCCCCAAAAAAAGAGACTTGCGTTCCTCATGTCTTAAAATAACTTTGATCCACTCCAATTTTCTACTGTTTGATCTTTGGAATACAGCTTCCAAGCTTATTTTCCCTCACGCTATTTTCATATCTCCAAAATAAGCTTTTCAAAATTACTGCTGATTTTGGCTGTAAGCTTCACAATAATATCACATCTTGCTACACAACTGCACTAATGAGGTTAATTCCTCTAGTGTGTGGCCAAGGACTGAATCTTGTATAATAATAATAATCTCTGCATTTGATATAGTTCCTTTCAGGTTAGGAGGATGAGTCACAGCGCTTCACACGTTTCACTTTACATTCTAGTGATCATATATTTTGCAGCCAGAGACAGCAGCCAATTTGTGCACAACGATGTCCCACAAAAAAACATTAAGCGAATGACCAATTTTATCTGTGAGTGTTGGGCCAGGACACTGGGAGAAATTCCTTTTCTTTTCAAAATGTCATGAGAACTTTAACATCCACCTGAACAATCTTTGTTTCATCCAAAGATTGACACCTTCAACAATGCAGTACTCCTCCAGCATGTATCTGAGTATCAACTTAGACCTTAAATTCAACGCCCTAGTGTGAAGCTTAAACGACTTTCTGCCTCAGAGGTAATTAACATAGTAACGCCTTCAAAGTTGTGTCAAGATTCAAATGAGATTCTGGGGTTTATGGGCAGGGGTACTGAATGTAAATACTACTTGGGGTATTAAATTTATTACCACAGTGGGTATTGAGGCCAGACCAATAGAATTGAATAAAAGCCCAAGCAGTAGTATGGAGATGGAGCAGTTTCATCTCCACAAACGGTTTCTCCTCTAGTCCCCGCACTGTCTCGTGCAGCATTTCTCAGGGCTCTGTCCATGGTCCCCTCCTCTTCAACATCTACATGTTCCCTCTTGGTGACATCATCTGCAGATATGGGGTCAACTTCTACATGTATGCAAATGATACCCAACTGTATCTTTCTGCCTCCACGCTTGACTCTTGAATATCTGTCAGTTGAACGTCAACAAGACTGAGGCCCCTTCCTAATTGGCTCCTGTCAGCGCGTCCACACTTCAGGCGTTGAGAGCATCACCATCCCAGGATGCACACTCCACCTTACTAAGCCGGTCCGGAACCTTGGGGTCTTGTTTGATCCTCAACTATTCTTTCTAACCCACATCCATACCATAACCTGCTCTGCCTTCCCCTACCAACCAAACATTGCCTGGCTCCTTCATTGTCTCACATCACAGGCTGCCAAAACCCTCATACACGCATTCATAACATCCAGACTTGACTACGCAAACTCCCTGTTTGTTGGCCTTCCCAACTCCTCCCTCCATAGGCTGCAGATCACCCAGAACTCTGCAGCCCACGTTATCCACCTCACCAGGTTCCATGACCTTATCATCCCCGTCCTCGCCTGACTCCACTGGCTCCCCATCACACAGAGGATACAGTTCAAGATCCTGGTCCTCACGTTCAAAGCCCTCCATGGCCTCGCTCCCCACTACCTCTGCAACCTCCTAACCCCCTACCAACCTGCCAAGTCCCTCCGTTCAGCAGGTTCCGGCCTACTTCATGTCACCCGCATCGCCTACCCCAACTTTGGCTTGTTGGCCTTCTGCCACTCTGCCCCTACCCTCTTGAACTCCATCCCACAGTCCCTCTGCCTCGGCCCCACCCTTGCCTCCTTCAAGACCCATCTCTAGACCCTCCTCTTTGACCGTGCTTTCCATCATCCTCCTTCCTCCCCTGCCGTCCACCTTCCCCAATCCCGAGCTCCAACTCGGGTCTGAAAGACTGATTGTCCAGCACCTTGGGACGTCCTCCCGATGTGAAAGGCACTATACAAATGTAATTGGAGTCCTGTAGCTCAGTGGTTAGAGCACTCGCTTTGCAAGTGAGAAACCTGAGTTCAATTCCAGGCAGGTCAGGGCGAAACCTCGGGCAAGTTTCCTTACTCCACACAGAGCCTAATAATAATCCCTCCAAAACAAAAAACAATAATAAATTGGTCATTTTCAATCTACGACTGTTTGTGGGACATTGCTGTGCGCAATTGGCTGCCGCGTTCGCCCACAAATATACAGTCAATTCACTTTACAGTATATTCTGTGAAGCGCTTTGGGACGTCCTCCCGACGTGAAAAGCGCTATATCAAATGCAAGGATTATTATTATTATTATTATTATTTTTGTTTTTGTTGTAGTAAACATTAATGGATGTATGGAGAAACCTGAGAAGTGGGATTTACAACACCAATATGCATTTACTGCATATTTTGCTCTTCTCATTGGGTAGCATCTTGAAGTGCCTAATAAAACAAAAGTAATTTAGAAGATCAATCAGTGAGTGGCACAAACACAATTGGAAAAAATAATCTCCTGTGCTGAATTTTTGTGCTTCTATTTGAATCTCTCATTTTCTGCTGTATACACTCACATGGGCCCACTCACACGCAACCCACATACATGCAATCCACAAATCGACTCACACTCATTCATATCCACTCTCACATTATGCACATTCATACCCAATCAATCCACACACACACTGACACTGGTAATTACAATCTTTGTCCATGAAGAGTTTTGAGACTTCTCAACAACATGATAAGGTGCTATAGCAAATGCAAGGATTATTATTTTTATTACACCGTACTGCTCTGTAAACACATACAATTTACTGCTCTGTTAAACGTATACGCAATGAATCAAATAGCTAGAGTAATTCTGTACAGGATGTGTACTGACCTGATGTCTTTGGCGCAGAATATCAGAATCTTGCCATTAGAAACACACATCTGCCTGTGTCTTTGGCGCAGAATATCAGAAATCTGGAAATAATTAAGTGGGATGTGACAGTACCTTTTAACATTCAGTTTCCAAAAATGAATGCAAATTGGAGCTGTAATTTACATTGTGTTCAAGCGATCATGATTTTGTTAGAACCCCACTCGAAAATAGTTGGGTCACTTGCTCAAATCTCTCCCAGGTTAGGAAGAATAAACAGGTGACGAATAGACTTGCAAGTCTGTCTCTCTGCCTGTCTGTCTGTTTATATATCAAATGGTAAATAATCATATGAATATAGAATTCAGGTGAGATGTAGATTAGAATGAATTTCATGAGTTCCCCACACCACAGCATGGATGAAATACAATAACTTACTTGGAGGAAATGTTAAATGTTTTCAATGAAATGATTTGTTGACCAAGTGACGGAGTGCCATTAATTTGACTATTAGTGGTATAAATAAGTGAAATGTGATGCTATGCAAAACAGTCAGGCACCAGTTATTGTGCCTCTCTTGTGGTTGTCTAAAATATGGTGTTCTTGTGGTTGCATCTCCTTCCGTGTTTGGACACCAAATCATATTTCATGATGCACATGTTTGCTCATTTTCTCTGCTCTCAGCAATGTGTCACTTCCTGGTGACAGTCTGTTCACAGTCCATATTTGTTAATGATCTGATGTTGCAATATATCTCCAGGAAATTGGATAAGTAAATCAGGAAACATAA